GAAAGTTAAAATTCAGCCTCTAAAGGCCTCGTTTGGCTGAAAACAGTGGCCGCTGTTTTTTTTTTCGAAACTGTGTTGGACAGCCTGACCGTTTTTTTAAAATGGCTTCAAACTTGCTTTAGAGTTAAAATTGGGTTTTGTCACAGTCACAGAAAAACGTTCAAAACATCGAGAACCATAATTTTAAGTTTAGAAATATTGAAAAATCTCACTCTAGGGTCCCCATTTTCGCGTTCAAAGTAACTGAAAAATTTTTCCTCCAACCCAAAATAAGCAACTTAAACCAAACATAAGCATACCACATAATACTAATCAAACTAACCTCAAAACACACAAAACCAACATAAAACTCACACACCCTTATTACAACTTATCTCCTCAAGAACCACAAATTACATCCTTGATTCACAACTTAATTTTTGGTAGGAGAATATAGGAGAAAGGTTTAGAATTTATACCCTTGAAGAAAATCCTTGGTTAGGCTCCTCCTAGAATACTTGATCACCTTCTTCTTCCTCTAAGGTTTGTTAATGGCTTGGAACTAGAAGACTATAAGAAAATTTGAGAAGAATATTTCTAAATCTCAAACTTAACTAGAACATAAGAAAGAGAGGGTTTAGAGTTTATACCCTTGGAGAAATGCTTGACTAGACTCCTCCTAGAATACTTTGATCTTCTTCTTCTTCTTCTATTGTTTGCTAGTGGCTTAAGGTTAGGAGAGTGAGAGAAAATTTTGAGAGGCAATGGGTAGAGTATGGCCGGTTTTGGTGTGTGGAAAATGAGAGGAAATGTGCAAAATGGCTAACCTAATGCGCACTAATGGTCTAACATTTATAGACTTTACTTGATCTCTTCTTAGTTCTTAATTAAGCCTATCAAGCTAGCTTAATTAGTAAAGTTTTTGGGTTAATTTCCCCTTGCTTGGCCGGTTGGGTGCTTCAAGAGAGAAGTGCAGTAAGCATTCTTGTCAAATAGTTGATTTGATTCATCTCATCATGAAATCCTCTAGCACACTCAACTAACCAAAATTTTGCTATAATCTCCCTAAGCATGGCTGGCCAAGTGAAGAAAGAGAGGGAAAAAAAATAATCATGAGTACTCTCCATCTTCCCTCATCACACTCCATCCAATTCTACACATTAACATACCCCTTGTACTTTTGTCCACTCTGTTAAGTTTCTCTTTGAAACTGTTAAAAATTATACTGGCTATAATTTTCTCCTGTATATGTACTAGATGCTAGTTCGTATTATGCTTGGAGATTCTTGGAATTAAGATTCTCAAACTGTATATGTATTGAAAATTCTTCCGCTTTAAAGTACAGTGAGAATTTATCGATCAAATTTACTTGATCATAAAACATGAACTTAGCATGAAATCTGCTACATAATTTAGGAATATAGATGTTAATTCCATAAATTCTTCAGTCACAAAATATAACATAATATATTTTTTTTCCAAGAAAAATCCTTGACTTAAATACATAAATTACATTATTTAAATTCGGAGTCAATCGATCAGGTATTTTTATTTTTTGTGCATGAGAACTGTATTTTAGAAGGCTTTTCTTTTTAATTAGAAATGAAGTGGTACTGAATTATGTTATTGCAATTGTTTAATTTTATTATAATGTCGTCATATGAGTTTTCTTTTTCCTTGGTGATCTCATGCATTGATTATATGCTAATGCTAAATATATATACACATATATATCATGCTTCTTTTTCTTCATTTCTTTTTGCTGGTTCGTACTGTTATTATGCTATTTCTTTTTTTCTGGTTCATTTCTTTTTAATTGGTCCTTTCTGTGGTATAGGAATTGTATTCTATTCTACTAATTATGCTTACTTGTTTTCCATGCACATCAATATGTTTTTTTTTTATTTTTTATTTCTACTAATTAGAAGATCGTTACAGGTACAACTTTTAGCAATATTTGATAAATGAATTCTAATTTGATGTGAATTCAACTTTGAATTATCCTAAATACTGGATAATCATGTAACATCTAATAATAATTTTTCCTCGTAGATTATTATATTTATGATGCAAATCCTAGTCCTAATAGGATTCCACATGTGATTTTTGGTACGCATATGAATTCATGGTTAGAGTCTGTCTCTTTTTAACTTTGTTTTTGTTATAGTGGCTTAGCTTATTATATTATTTATTAAAATCTTGTTACTATAATAATAAGTCATTCCTGTTTGCTTTAAGAAATGTTTTCAAATAAGAAGTTTCATTCGTTTACTGTGTACATGGTACACCTAAAATTCTGCTTTTAATGAAGATCCACGCGCGTTGTTAAAAAAAAAAAAAAAAAGTTTTATTTTTTTTTCTTGCGGCACAAGAATTCATGTATTTTATTCTACTAGTTTATGCTTTATTTGTTATTGATTTTATCATATTCGTATGTATACTAATTTTCACTTTCTTTTTATTCAATTATTACTAAACTCTCGGTCAAAGAAAAATTACTTAAATTGTGTTTTCATAACGAATTGTACTACAACAGAAACAAGTTTCCAGAGTATATCAGATTTTGAGAGGAAACTCAAACACGCTTGTGCTTCATGCTTTGTAATCAACGAGTGTGAATTGCTTTGGAGCCGATATGCTAGCGATCGAGGAGTTTTAGCTTTTGATTCGGGGTCTATCAATCAGGTTGTGATCAGAGTTCTATTTTCTGTGCATGAGAATTGTATTTTAGAGGGATTTTTTTTTATTATTATTTGAAACGAAATGGTACTTAATTATGTAATATCAATTGTTTTTATTATAATGTCATCATATGAGTTGTTTCTTTTTCGGTGATCTCATGCATTGATTATATGCTAATGCTATATATATATATATATATATATATATATATATATATATATAGACACACACATATACACATATATATCATGCTTCTTTTTCATCTTTTGTTACTTTTTTTTTCTGGTTCGTACTGTTATTAGTTATTAATTTGCAGTGGTACAATGAGATTGATTCTTCCCCTGCTTTTGTTTCTGAGTTCGTTATACGAATTGTAGTCTTTTTTTTTTTTTTAATTGTACGTTAAGTTTATTGGTTATTTCTACTGACTTTATCGTATATATGCTTAGTGTTCTGGGTATTCTATTGTTATTTAACTATGTTTTTGTAACGAATTGTACTACAAAAGAAACAAGCTTGAAGAGTAATTCACCTTCGAAGACGAAAACTTAATCACACTTGTGATCCACGCTATTGCTTGGGAGTCAATCATGCTTATGATCGAGGAGTTTTAGCATTCAATTTGGAGCCGATCATACAACTGCTATATTCCACTACTGCATTTTCTCTATATCTTATTGGCACCAGAGATGTATGACGACATCATACAACTCCTATATTCCAAATACGTCAATGGAGTTGATCGCACTTCTGTTCGAGGACTGCAGATTGCTTTATTGTAAGTTTATGTTTATGTTTTTCTTTCTCCTTGCTTTTTCATATGTTTTTATCATATCCATGCGATTGTAATGTTGTCATTGCTATTAGTTCGCTTTTATTGTCTTTGTCATTTTTATCATGATGCCTTCAACATTATTATTAGTGTCAATTTATTCTGACACTATCATGTGTCTTCATATTTTAATTATCTCTCGAACATGCTAAGAATGTTATTCTATTGCTACTGATCTAATTCTTTAGAATGTACTTTATTGATATGGTTTGTTTTTGTTATACAAATAAGTTTTCATTTTTGGTTAGAAAACATGTTTCCCACAGCAAACTAGCATTCAGATTGAAAATTACTAGCAGCAACTTTGGAGAGTCATGCAGGTTCAGAGTTAGCTTCAGAATTCGCTTCAGAGTTGATCAGAAGGTCCTCAATCAGAGTGAGTTATTAAGCGAACAAAGCCTCAAAACAACCTTAACAAGGGAAGTATTTACGCTTTCTTATGATGTTTTCGCACACACTAAGGGGGTGATTTTTCACGTGGGAAGTATGCATGTAGGTGTGGAAGTGTTTCCCTCTAAGTCTTGCCAAAGTTGTTTAATTGGTCTTGACAGCATGCCATGAGAAAGGACTATGGAATGGCCCACGAAGTAGCGAAATTGTCCGTTTCGCTACTTCATGTACGTTTCACACCTTAAAATGTTACAATAACCATGTTACAATAAGCTAGGTTACATTGATTAACTAAGTGTACATTACTTTATAAATAGTTAGTCATTTTATAACCATGATTAATCAAACAACTATACATTACTCATTTTAAAGAATAAACACATTTTTAAAAAAAATAAAAAAAAAACATCAAATGACAACTTTTTTAGGCATCACACTTATTACTTTCTCACTCAAGACAAAGTTTAGAGGAAATCCTCTAAACTTTGCTCTTTACACTTCCTTAATCAGGAGCTATTCCCCACCCCTTATAGTTCTTTCCATTCAGGCTCTGTCAAGAACTTAGAGCTTTCCTACAGTCTCCACTCGTATACTTTTTTTTGGTATTATTCTGTTACTCGCAATATACGCTAAAATATCACTACTCTTTCTAGTGGTTTCTTTTGCAAAGACATGTCTTTTCTTTCTTTTGCATCTATATGGTATAAAACTCAGAGTTGATAATTTCAGGCCATGCTGGAAGATAAGGACCATTTATATATGGCTCATCTGTAAACTTCTTGCCCTATTTTATGAGATTTCTAGTGAAGATTTTGCAATGAAAAGAGATAGAGAAGATTAAGGCAATTATTTGTCACGCCCCAAAGCAGGGGTTAGTGATGTGAAAGCTCGTTTAAAAATTAAACATAATTATGAAAGTAGTTAAACATTTAGAATTACAATAATCAAAACTAAAAGTAAAATATTAAAGCAATTTCCAAACAAGCTCCACATTTTTACTGAAATTAAATTACAAGAAAGTGATGGGGATTTTCACACTTTCTGATAAAACAGGTTTCAAAACTGAGCCTCTAGCATCATTCAGAGATTCACCCACAGGATATACAATATTGTACATACATGAACATTTAAATAACATTTACAGACATCAACCACAATCTAGATATTCAAAGTTTATAATCTTAGAATTTACAATCCTTACATTTATACACAAGGATGATGGATATAATGTCCTTACTTGACAGTAGCAACTAATTCAGCTACTCTGCGCTACTTCTAGCATCGCCTGCAAGGGGTTTAATATATCTATATAAACATAGAAGAAAAACGTGAGCAGACGGCCCAGTAGGATATATTTTGAAATAAACTTTATAAACAAGTAAGTAAATAAAGATATTCAGTTCCAACACAACAGCTGGAACCTAACATCCTTTTTTTCTAAAAGGAAGTATAAACTTAAAATTCTGTATCACAGGCATCAACAAGTAATTTATACTATGATAAATTACTTACACAACCACAAGCACAAGCCTTATCACCACCGTAGTGGCCCGCTCGGAGTTTCGGGTTCTGGCCCCGAGGGTACTCTATGCATATCCTTTCTAGGCCATCAGCAGGCTTATCAGTTCGCAAGATATCTTTTCTTAAAAAATCATTCATTAAAACTTTGAAACAGTTCTTTATGATTCCAATAGCTAAAATCAAGCTATTGTGTTAAAAATATTTTTCTTTATCAAACCTATCCTTTCTTTAAAACATTTGCATTGGCCAAAACTCTTTAAAAACAGGCTATCAAACAAAAGGACAAGGAATCCTATCTCTCAAGCACTAAACATGTTGCTAGCGTTGTGCTATTCTAGCGTCTGCTTCGTCAAAGCCTTCAATCCGATTCCTCAACTATCATTTAGATAAAACAATGCTTTAGAATTCAATTCTCATTCCTAAAGCAAATGAATCTCAATTATACACTTCGATTTCCTATTAGTGTGCCTTAATCCAATTCAAAGTTTCATAAATCATTTCATGTTTCAAATCATCATTCAAAGGATTTTGATCTCAAAACATGGATTAAAGATGCTAATCCATCTACTTTAGGTTCATAAATGAAACTAATTTAGGTTCTCTTTGAAAATCAGGGTCAAAACAACATTTTAAGACAAATCCGGCTCAAATCACGTGTACACCGGTCGACCGGTGACAGAGAAGTTTTTCTCCACTGGTCGACCTGGGGGGGGTTTGGGGGGGCTGTACAAGTTGGCCGACATGACCGATCCAAAATAAATAGGGCAAAAACCTGCAAATTCAAGTTCCAATCTGAGATATTTCAAAAGAAAATTACTACATCCAAGTTCCAAATGATAAATCTAGGCCAAAGAACCAAGTTTTCCCAATTTTCACCGTGATTTTACCTAAAATCCATCAACATCTACTTTAAACTAAAAATAGGTTTTTCTAACGGAAAAAATCAAGATTCAAGAGAAGTTTTTCAGAAATCTTACCCTAAATCCTTCTCTTGACGTTGAAAACTCCTTGAAGTTCTTTTTTGGTTCAAGATTTGGAAGATTTGACAAATTTTTTAAGAGAGTGAGAGAAAGAGCTATGGGAGAGGGAGAGTGAGAGAAACAACAGAGAGAGAGAGAGAGTGAAACGACAGAGAGAGAGAGCTGAGAGAAAAGGAAGGAAAAAGAAAAAGAAAGAAGAAGGAAAGAAAAGAAATAAAGAAAAATAAGGATAATTTCAAAAGATATTTACAAAAGTAGACTAGAAATTGTGTCTACATATACTTTTAGGGTGAAAATATAAATACTAAAAATATTTAAATCCCTTAGAAACATTTAAACTTAAATACCAAAAACATTCAATGAACATAATTAATTAATTAAACTAGATTAGGCACACTAATAAATCTCAATTATCTTAATTAATCTTGTTTAATTTCTTGAGGTGTTACATTATTAGCTCTTAACTTTTCAGTCTGTAAGGAATTGGACAATCAAAGGAAGAAACAAAAGCAAAAAAGATAAGTACTGTGGTTTTTATCTTCCTGACTGCATATGCATTCATAAACATTGTGAATCAGCAATTAGTGCAACTCAAGAAAAGAAGGTTTTTCCTTTGGCAATATTTGAAAGTGTGTGTTTGGTAGATGACAAATTATCTCGGATATTGTTGCACTACTTGTAATCCAAATTCAGATTTTGATGACTCCTGCCTACTGTTATGGCTCATAAACCATATTTGAAATCCTGCAAAACAATTTGACGAGGATACATACAAATAGAAAATTGGTTGAGACCAAGAAAGACTACTGATATGGATTTTTAATGTCTATTATCATCTTCCTGACTGAAAATCACTGATGAGGCATTCATAAACGTCGGGAAGCAGCCATTACTGCAACTCAAGAAAATAAGTATTTCCTTTGGCACAATTAAAAGATTGGCACTGGCTCAAAGAAAAATATTTGTTAAAAGAAGACTAAGTGGCAGATAAAACTACAAATAAAGTTGCCCTTTTTTCTTGCCATAAGAATCAAATTCAAGTTTTGTTGACTCCTTCAAAGTTCAGCTTATTAGTATTCCTAATGTTGGCTCACAAAGCTATATCAGATTTTCTTATGGATTATTAACCAATTGAAAACGAAAAAGAACTAAGAGCCAAAAACTATTCCACCCAATTTATTCGAACGATAAAAGGCATCTGGACCAACATTAAAAAAAAAAAAAAAAAAAAAATCAGAAGACAAAAGCAACCCTCACTTTTCTGGGCTCCAAAAGAAAGCGGTAATCTCTGCAGTGTTGCAAAAATAGAGAAATTAGTGTAGTATTACCTGCAATCAGGGATCAATGGCGGTAATCTCATTGAATTGAGCTTGCACAGAGGAATGTATATCCGCAATATCAAACGTCTTCTCTTCATGAACGAGCCCATTCCTCGCAAGCCAAATAGTTTCCAAAAGTACAGAAGCATAAAGCAAGAAATCTCCATCAAAATGGCATAATGAGTTTGGATCACCAAATAATACCAGTTCCAAGAAAGAAGCCATGGAATCACAGCAGAGAGAATTTGTCTTGAGGCCCCACCGTGACATGAACCAAAGAGGCCCAACACTCTGGCAGTACAGAAACAGATGGGTGGCACTTTCCGAAACCAAGCCACAGAGCGGGCAAGTGGTGTCCAAATCCACTTGGTAATTAACAACTTCTCGTACTGGCAAACAATCCAAAACAAGCAGCAACCATAATGTCTTGTGCCTGGGCAGTATCTTGAAACTCAATATCTTCTCACAAAGTTGTTGCCTTGACGGGAAACCCTGAAAGCTGAACAAAGGGTATATCACATTCTTTAAAAATCCACTTGGTTGCAACTCGTTAACGACAACATTCGCCTCTGAAAATACATATTGATCACTGATGATACCAAATTCAATTGCGTCCTGGAGAGAAAGCAGGCGCATTCCGCAACTTTTTATTTTGCGTTTTAACGGATCTTCAAAACTAAAGTGAAATGACATCTCTGTTACAGGATCACAGACAAATGCAGCTGCAGCTAGATGCGTGGTCATTAACACATGGTTTAAGTCATAACTGCCTCCAAAATACATGGATTTTGACAAATGTTGGATACGCCTTTCACCATTACTGTTGGTTTTGAGATAGATTTCCCAATATAAATTTTCGACATTGTAGCTATCATCATTGTGGGCATTTTCAACAACAAAGCAAAAGGCAAAACCCAAGAAATTTGTATACTCTGTGGGAACCATCATATCTATTGAATCTCCAACGTTTTGATAGCTAAACCACTCAGGAATTTCATCTCCCGGATAAGAAACAATAACGCGAAGCGGAGTCACATGCCTCTCCTGCACCATAAACAAATCAGGATTAGGTCAAATATGAATTTAGTAGAGTCATCTTAAGAAGAGAAAGAAGAGATATACCTTCTCGAATCTACAACCTTTTTGTGTAAGTGAAGCACGGAAACCAGCATCCAGATGTGGTCTCCTCATTGTCTCGCAACTCAACGTTATCTGACCCTGAAATATCAAAAACTAAAATTAAAACATATATATTTGGTAGAGCAAGAAGATACATATAAATATATACCCTATCAAGTCTGGGTACAATAGTTCCCTTACAATGGGAAAAATTCTAATATTAAATTGAACTTTAAGAAAAGATATACCTTATGTTTCAAAAGTTGTTGTATTGAGGCATAGAATAAAGATCTAATCTGAAATTCAGTTATCACATCCTTGTGATCCAACTTTAAGCAACCCTCAAATGAAAACCGCATCGGAAAGGGCCGATCCCCTTTAGGCGCTTGTGCAAGTAGATTCCATGAATTTGACACCTTCTCCAATGATATGCACCCCTCTACGCTAATAGCCTGTATGGAAAGAGGAAGTTCTGGTAGAGACTTAAGGAACTTGCAATCTCTTAATTGCAAATACTTCAACTTAGAACTTTTGATGCTTTCAGGAATTCTAATAGTATTTGATTCACGGAGATTTAACAAGTCTAGTCCGGGTAAAGAGAAGAGCCAATCGGGTATTTCAGGTACACGGGTGTGTTGGATGAATAATTTTGTAATCCCATCAAGTTTTTCAGTTGACGAGGGCAACTTTCTTATGCGTGCTTCTTGTGTTTGAAGCACTGTTAGATGTTCCATGGGCTCTTTAATTTCTGGCAAGTAGTTTAATGCTAAGCAACCACCGACGTAGAGCTCTTCGAGAGATTTTAACTTAGAAAAGTTGGTCGGAAGGCTCTCAAGCCTTTTGCAATTTGTCAAATTAAATACCAGGAGCTGAGAGAGACGCTCAATTGATGGCGGCACATTCTCTATAGCTGTCCCATCCATATGCAAACGTTGTATATTTTTTGGAAGTTCTGGAAATTCGTCAATGTTTGAGCAGCCAGATAACCTAAGAACCTGCAACAACTCCAGCTTGCCAATGCCTCCTGGAAGACGCTTAAGGTGTATACAGCGTCTGAGATTTATCTTTTCCAAATTTAGTGCCAAAGAGAGGTCTGGAATTTCAGTAAGCTTCTTAGATCCTTCAAGATTTAGAACTTTTAAGCTCACAATATGCTGTCAAGAAAGGGAAATATAGGAATAAATTATATTATGCCTGTTACATACACAACACATTTAAAACAAGTGAAAATTAAACTATACCTGAACGTCATCCCAAAGCTTCTCTAGCTTACTGTTAATCAGGTGTAGCTCAATAAGATTTTGAGGCCAAAATTTGGGAGGCAAACGTTTTAGAGGGAAACTATCCCAATGAAGAAATCTGAGCTCACTAGGAAGACATTTAAGACCTTTTTTTTGAAGTTTCAGCTTTTCCTCAACATAATCAAAAAACCGAAGGAATTTGAGATTAGGCATTGCTTCGAAAAGTCTAGGACTCATGCATATGGCAGCACGAATTTTAGACATGTCTAGGGACATTCCTTGAATTTCTGGGGTTGCCTGAAATTGAAACAATTCAAAAATGAGCATGCAAAAAAAAAAAAAAAAAACACACACACACACACACGAACACACACAATGTATATGGTACTTACAGTATTATTTTTCAAGACACTACAGACATCTTCAGCAAACCAAAGCCTGCTGCGCCTTCCAGGCTCATTAGGAGATTCCTGACGAACAATTTCTTTACCCATGTCTTGTACCAGATCATGCATAGACAGCTGATTGGAACGATCAATTGTTAAAAGAGACCTGTCAATGAGAACACTAATTCCCATAGCAACTCCCCAGCGATGGCTATCGAGTATTCTTTTTGCATCATCCTGTTTCATGCCAATAAAGAAAAACACGATATCGAGAAATATATTTTTCTCTTCGGAACACAGGCCATCATAACTCATTTTCAACACATTCTGAACTTTGTCATAGGGAATATTTTCCAACCTTTTCAGTTCACTTTCCCATTCTTCTATGCTCTTGGAACAAAGGTGACAACCCAAAACTTTAAGGGCTAAAGGAACACCTTTAGCATATTCAGTGACCACTCTTTTTGACATTTCTACATAAACTGGTGAGGGAGAGTTTCCCTTGAATGCTGATGCATAAAATAATTGAAGAGCATCATGAGAATTTAACTCATCAACCTCATATATTCCATCAGCTTCGATATTCGTCAGGACTTGCTTATCTCTAGTTGTTATAATGATTCTACTCCCCTGGCCAAACCAATCACGATCTCTAACCAAATACTCTAACTGCTCGACATCATCTACATCATCAAGAACGACTAGCACCTTCGTACGCTGAAGCCTATCCCTTACAAATTGATTGACATTTACTATTTTCTCCTTCAACAATTCAGAGAAGAGTTTCTTTCGTAACTTGTGAAGTTTATGTCGTTTTGTCTCCTTAATGTTTCTAAGAAAGCAACAACTTTCAAATTGAGGAGCAAAGCGACTGAATATGACTTCGACCAGGGTGGTTTTTCCAATACCGCCCATGCCCCAAAGTCCTACAATCCGAACATCTAATAAACTGAAATGTAGCAATAGTTTAATGTTTTGAACTTGTATGTCAATTCCAACCAGATCCTTGAATTCATCTTTAGATGACGTGTTATCCAACCTGTTTAGAATGTCTTTGACAATTTCCTCAATTACTTCAGACTCGGATCTGGTGTACATACCAAAACAATTAATCTAAGAACTAATTATAAAACATGCACATCAAATTATGAAAGAACACATGGAAATTATCAACTTTTAAAGCGGAAACATGCACATCATATTGAAGGGTGGCCAAATACCAAAATTGGGAATTTATGTTGATTTTTCAATTCAAACACAATCCGGAAATTTTGTTCCAAAAGCGGGTTCGGATGGTGAACTTGATTCAAATTGGACTGCATGGGCCCAGACCTACGAACTGAACTTGCACCAGATTTCACAAGAATTCAACTTAGTACCGAATGAGCTTCATGTTTCGAACAAATTGCTCTCAAAATATTGCATTTTTTATGGAACTGGCCTAGCCCTTAAGGTATCAAATTCAAAATAACGGAGGCTACTTGGCAATTGTAACAACAGAATGGATAATATAAAACATTAAATTCACCTAATGTCTCCCAACAACAGAAAATAATAATAATAATAATTAAGGAATTACAGAATCTATCAAACTGAAAGCTTCAAGTTAGTGCCTGTTTTTTTCCTGCATGGCTCTATGATGTATGATCGAAGGAAAAGAGACAAATTTTTTACAGAGAAGTACCAGAGGTTAGAGAGACCAAAGAATTCCCACTATAACAAATAGAAGATCAAAAGATACTACGACGGTTTAATAACAGTCGTCGTATCCAGAGTCATTAAATGTCTAAGAGATATGACGACGGCTTTAACCGTTGTCTAATATGCACGTGAGACATCACAAGAGTTTAAAAAAGTACATTAGATAATCGTTATTTTTAAAAACCATCGTCTAATATCAACTTTTAATAATGGGTTTTAAAAAAAACTGTTGTCTAATGTGTAACTTTTAACGACAATTTTTAAAAAACTGTCGTTAAAAGTATTAAAAATTAAAAAAAAAAAATTTCCGAAAACTAATTCTTTGCTCAAAAAAATTATTTCTTCGAATGGTATCACTAGTCATTGAACAACACATATAAAAAAATTCAAAACATGTTACAAATTCACCTTCTCGTACATAACCAATATATATGTAACACAAATATTTTAAAGCCAAAAGTCTCTACAAAATCTAAGAACAAAAATACCTAATTAATTCAAATGGAACTCTAAATCCAAACAAAAAAAAAACAAATTCCAAGGAAAATAAATTTCTAAAGATTAACAAAGTACCCATTTCGATGGTCATGATGTAGTGATGGATACGGAGGCGAGGTCATGACGGCCGAAGACATATGAGCATGATTGTGAGGCTCTTGGAGGCAGCGGCCAAGTTGACGGAGTGAGGAATACGTATAGTAATGGGAGCGAGGAGTGTAGAAGAGTTGAGATTTGAGAGGAAAAAAATTGAAGTGTTTAGAGGAGAGTTAGAGAGAGAGTTTGGGTGTGAGGAGAAGAGAGAGAGTTTTGTAGAGATTGAGAGATTTGAGATAATAAACTTAGAGTATGTAAGAGAATGTTCTAAATTATAGATGAGATATCAAAGCTTTAAAAATGTTCTGAAAAAATGAGCGGAAAAAAGTCCGCCTTTTTTTTTTGACATTGGACGACGGTTTTAAAAAAACGGTTGACTAATGTGCGCCTACAGATTTTTCGTGTTCGTACCACGATTTTTTTAGCCCATTAGATGACAGTTTCCTAAAAACGTCATTAAATAGATGCCGTCTAATCTCCTATTTGTTGCAGTGTCCAGAGAGCTCTAGAGCAAGAAATCTGAAATCTCAATACTTTTTCATCAATCCAAATTATGTAATTCAATCACAAAGTATTCTATAGAAAATTAAAATCAACTAATGCTTTCCATCAACAACAGAAGAAAAAAATCAATCAAACCAATCAATAAAGCAACAATCTTCAAGCTAGCTGGTGGTTTCGTTTTTTTCTTTCTTCTTTTTTTTTTCCGTGCATGGTTCTATGATGTTCTATGATCATGACCAAAGGAGAAGAGATAAATTTTTAACAGAGAAGTTAAGCCACTGGAGATTAGAGAGATCAAAGGAGCAGAGAAAGAATTCTAGAGAGTACTAGAACTCGAGCTGGAATTTGAAATCTCAATACTTCTTCATCAACAGAAATCTAGTATTCAATTACAAATCTCCTACAGTTAGACAAACCAAATTAGTAACTAGGAAATTAAACCAAGTTATTACAAGGAATAACTACTAACGTTAAGAACCCGTTTAAGAAAAGTAAAGAAGAGTAATAGGGATGAGAATACAACATTTGATTCAAGCATTCAATCTTCTTTCATAATATGCAAACATGTCCTGAACCGATAATGTAAAAGTAAAACTAATCTTAATATCCCAAAATAACACAGATCCGTCATTCGAATTTAGAACAAAACTAACAAATTAAAGATAATTAGTTATATCTCAAACTTCATCTATTTGAATTTGGTCAATCAACGAAGAGGAGGCTTAAACTTAAAAGGAGAAAGTACCATACCTATTGAAATCAATATTCCAGCCACACATATTGCCTGCTTCTTTCAAAGCACTTCTCCACATTTGCACCTTTTCATCCTCAAAGCGCTTTTCATGCTTGGCAAATGCCGCCGCATAGCTGTTTCGTTGTTGGCGTATGTCTGATGGATCGACATGGTAAAAAATCGGAACAACGAGCTGCTTGTTTACCACTTTGCATCGGAGGATGTGAGCGAGCTCAGTTAAGCACCACGACGAAGAAGCATAATTCTTCGAGAAAATAAGCACAGAAATCTTTGACTCCTCAATTGCGTTCAAAAGCGAAGGTGAAATTTCCTCTCCTTTCTCAAGACGATCCTCGTCTATGTAGGCACGAACTTTTTTCCGACGCAAAGCTGCATAAAAATGGCCGGTGAAGTTGTGGCGAGTGTCCTCACCTCTGAAGCTTATAAAAACATCATACGTTTGTTTTGGAGCAGAAGAAGATGCAGCCATAACTAAGCTCTCTGAAAACAGATGTATATATTAGTAACAGTAATCTGGTATTAGTACAAGAGTATACTCGAAGTCGTGTATATATAGTTTTGAAGTAATTGAACCTTTTTCTGTCAGCATCTTTGTTGAAAAAAAAAAAAAAAAGTAAATAAATAAAAAATAAATAAATAAATAAATATATGCGCAAAATAAAAAATGTGAAAAAAAAAAAGGAAAAGTTGCTTTTAATGGATTAATTTACTTCAGATGCCTGTATGTAGGCCTGTAAGAAAAATGGAACTTTTGACCTTTGATCCCTGGTGGAAACTTCGTGCAAGAAAAAAAGTGAATTTGAGTATATTACGAGTGAAAGTGGGAGAGAAAAAGAGTGAAGGAAAGATTGTCAAGAAAGAGAAGGAAAGATTGTCAAGAAAGAGTAGGAAAGGTCAAAAAAAAAAAAAAAAGTGTGATTGCATATCCTATCTGGTTCTTTGTGTTTTCTTTCATGATGTATCTTGGTCCTACAAATTTCCTTCTAATCATTCTCTTATACCGAAATGCAAAAAGAAGTTCATTTGTCAGTGTTGATTAGATTCATGTTTCAAGGTGTACAGGTTGTAAATCTTTGAACCCAATAAAATATTATGAGATTGTAAGATTTAGAACCTCCAAAAATAATAAATAAAAAAATGCAATTGTAAGATTTTAGAACTCTAAAAAAATTATGAGGTTGCAAGATTTAAAACCTCTAGAAAAATTAAAATAGAATTGCAAGTTTTAGGACTCTATAAAATCATGTGGTTGCGAGATTTAGAACCTCCAAAAAAATTAAAATAGAATTCCAAGTTTTCTTTTTTTGTTTTTGTTTTTAGAACTTTACAAAATCATAAGATTGCAAGATTTAGAACCTCAAAAAAATGTTGAAAGGGTCTTTTCTTGTAGCATTTGGTACAAACCAGGATAAAAATTAGGAGTAACTGCGTTCCTGAGATCCCTTCATGTCCATTGTCAACTTGTTCAAGGGTTTCAGTTTTAAAAACGGCACCATTTTGTTGACTCAATTGGATGACATTTTCTTCACTTTCAAAGAGATATCTCAAATAATCGGAATGAACTTTTTGAGAATTGAACAAAAAGAAAAATAAAGGACATCAACAAAATGCAAATTACTTGGCAAAGGTTCAAACTAAAATTTTCTTTTGTTGCCAAAAAAAGTGGAAAGATTTAAAGGCTAAAGAAGACGACTCTTGAAAGAGCTCCAATGGGCATTCCTAGTTGTCTAATTAATTTCTACTTAAAATTTATAATGCAAAAACCCGAGGATCCGAGACCGCCTAGGAGAAATCTTCCACACTTAGAGAGGCAGCTGGCCCTAGGGATAAACACTTTGATTGGTGGAAGAGGCACAACCTTTGGCTATCACAATGAAGTTGATCTTAAGAGTTATCTATCAAATTAAAGTAGAAAAGCAAATTTGTCTGGGGTACATGGTATAGAAGCAATCAGAACTTAAAACAGGTGGTAATGATCACATATCTGGACGGGAAATTCTTACTTTATGCACCTCAAATGTGGCTTCTTTTCTCAAAATGGTGTTATTTGGTGATCCAAACTCAAACATACACCATTTTCATGGGGAATTCTAATTACTTTATGCTTCTATACTACTTGTGGATGCTATTTGGCTTACGAGGAATAAGCTCGTTCGTGACGCAAAGGGGTTTGACATTGCGGATATCCATTCCTCTGTCCAATCTCAATTCAATCATATTATTCAGCTCGACCATCCCGGCTGTTGAAAGTCTGCTTCTAAAGCCTTTGTGAGGGACTCTGACATGATCGAACCGTATCCTAAGAGAGCTAGACTTTCCAATTTCCTTTGACTAGTTACTGCCGTTTCTCAACCTGATTGCATGTAATAATATGTTAAATTCTCTATTTTCGTAGCATTTTTCTCTTATTGTAGAATTTCATGATTTTCTTATCCCGAACTAAGACAGAAATAAAGCTGCTTTTTGGAGCCCTGAAAGCTATGGGTTGCTTCCATAATTTTCTTTTCTTTTCTTTTCTTTTCATTAAATTTTGGTTGATTAGTTTCCAGCACTATAGTTTTATGTTAGTCAATAAATAATCATATTGTATGTGTTTATATGTGTGTGTTTAATTAAGTATTCAATGCCTGCATTTGTTTATCCTTTATTTTTTATTTTTCAAAAACAAGGAACAAAACAAGGTTTTACTGCATGCATATGCCACCAATTAATATCATCAGGCCCCGAATAAATTCAACTGCTAAGCTTATATCCAATTTCTAATTTGCCACCAAATATTCTAGAGAAAGAAAAAAAAAAGGGAAATAGTAGAAAATAAGCCAATATGAAAAGCTTAAGAAAGTATATAAGCTAATTTTTAGTTATAAAAATTAATACGTCATGATTTGTCAAGTTATGGTTCATAACCAGATAAGTTATGGACAAACATGTCAAGTTATGGTTCATAACCAGACAAGTTATGGACAATTATGGACAATAACTTATCAAGTTATGGTTCATAACCAGACAAGTTATGGACAAAAACAGTAATTTGGCCTATTTATTAACTTATATAAACTATTGGTCTATTAATTTTAATTCATCTCAAGTCTTGGCCTATTATCCCTCTTTCTCCCAAAAAAAAAAAAAAAGCCCCGAAATTTCTAATTTGCCACCAACCAATCACATTCCTTTTACTTATATATACTTCCAATTAGGAAATGCTTCTTTTCCTTATTAGCAGTAATTTCTAATTTGCAATGTTTATAAATACATTATCAGTACTCTTTCTTGGACTGAACCAGTTTTTCTTTGTTTATATTCATTTCAAAATCCTTTGCACTATCTCATAGAATAGACAAAATACGGTTTTCCAAAGACGAGCCATGAATTAGTCCTTATTCTCAGTTATAGCCTGCAAAGAACAAAACCATAGACATCTGGATGATCTTTTACGTGAGTTCTTGGGTTGTGTGCTTTTGCCCATTTTTCTTGCTTCTTTCTTTGATATTTCCAGCCCAATTTCTTACATGGTAGGTACCATATATATATATAATATATATATATATATATATGTCTACTTTTGCACCGTCCTCTATTGTAATAATTACAGCCTCTTTTGATACGGCGAAAGTTTTCTTGGAAAATATTGACTTCTTATGTCTAGGTTAATATATAATCTCAAAAAGCCAAATTGAAGGAATATCCTTAACTTAAGCAGTTTTATTTGAGGGTTAGTTGGCAAGTTTTTATCCTCCGAAAAAATAAAATTATGCTTCGTTGGTAATAGATTAGCAGGTAGTTCTCCACCTTTCTTTCAACAAATTTTTGTATTGTTAATACTTATTCATTTTACAACTTAAGTCACAATTTAAATTTTATTACTATAGTATTTTTTCTCATAAAAATTTAAATTTAATTTTTTTGTTACAGTATTTTTCTCTCATATATATAACTAATTATGATTTGAGTTGTGAAACAAACACAAAAGAAAGAGCTTGGTGAGGTGTATTGTATAACGTACATTATTATGTATAACTTGCCATACGTTCCAAGAAAGAGCCTCTTTTGATACGGCGAAAGTGAAAGTGAAATTTCCTCTCCTTTCTCAAGACGATCCTCGTCTATGTAGGCACGAACTTTTTTCCGACGCAAAGCTGCATAAAAATGGCCGGTGAAGTTGTGGCGAGTGTCCTCACCTCTGAAGCTTATAAAAACATCATACGTTTGTTTTGGAGCAGAAGAAGATGCAGCCATAACTAAGCTCTCTGAAAACAGATGTATATATTAGTAACAGTAATCTGGTATTAGTACAAGAGTATACTCGAAGTCGTGTATATATAGTTTTGAAGTAATTGAACCTTTTTCTGTCAGGATCTTCGTAAAAATTTCTATGGAAGGTGAAAGGAAATAGATCAGATACTTAATTTCATGACTACATCTCTTTCACCGCAAACTGAATTGCTTGGAAAATTAAATGTTACATTCATATGAAACCACTTTTTGACCATCATAATATTTGGCGTCATGAAAGAAAAAAGGTAGATTGTAATTTCTAGGAATGAATGATATAAGTTAACTGATTCTTTTTTTTTTTTTTAAACGTTCATCTGTATGTTATATAATACACCTCACCATGCTTTTTCTTTACTATGTAATATTTTTAATACATATATATTAAGGACTCAGATTTGTATATTAACAGCACAAAAATTGTATCCTCGTCAATGAAAGGTAGAGAACAGCATGCTAAATTACTACCAACAAAACCATACATTTTTCTTTTTTGGAGGGTAAACTTGGCCCAATTAACCCTCAAATAAAATTGCTCAAGGAAATTCCACTCATTTGCCCTTTTGAGATTATACATGAACCAAGACTCAAAAGAAGACAAATATTTGCCAAGAAAACTTTCACTTTATCAAAAGAGGTTGTAATTGTTACATTAGAGGACGCGTGCCCTACCATGTTAGAAAATGGGCCAGAAAAGTCAAATTAAGAAAATGGACAAAATCAAATTAAAGAGAGCGAATCTAGCTAGAGGGAGAAAAGTCATCAATCCTAACATGTCAACACATGACCAATTCAAACAAAAAAAAACAAAAAACAAAAAACAAAAAAAACAAAAAAAAAAAAGAGAGAGAGAAAGAAAAGAAACACATGACCAAAGAACTTTAACAACAGTGAGTCATCAATTCCCATTTCAACTTTTTGACAATACATTTGTCTTGTTTCTCAAATGAAGATGACATTTCCATGGTCATGATTTGTGCCGAAATGGCGCCTAGAATAAACAATAGCAAAAGAAACCTCTCCATCCGCAATAAGACATTACTTTACAATATGTAGGAATGTACATACCATTCTACAATTTTGCCAAAAAAAAAGAAAAAAGTACTACAGTTATTAGGAAGTTGGCATCCACAAGAAAACGGTATTAGACTAGGAACTTGCCATTATTTATTCCTTCTCAAATGTGTAGATCCTCTGTCCCCCAATCTCCGAAAAACAACGTCGAATTGCTTAACATCTTCTGCGATTAACTCAAGGGATCCTAAGGCAGCAGTTTGCCGGATGTCGTCCACAACTAATAACTCCAGGAGTACAAAACATCTTCTAGACGTTGGTGTTTTGTTCTGTGCAGGCTATAATTGAGGATAAGGACTATCTCTTGCTATCTCTGGAAAATCATGTTTTGCCTATTCTATGAGATACTGCAAAGAATTTTGAAATGAATAAACACATAGAAAAAACTGCTTGAGACCAAGAACGAGCACTGATAATGCATTTACAAACATTGCAAATTAGCAATTACTGCTAATAAGGAAAAGAAGTATTTCCTTGGCACTACCAAAAGGAATGTGATTGATAGGTGGCAAATTAGAAATTTTGGGGCTTTGTTTTTCTCTCTCTAGAATATTAGGTGTTACGCATAGGTTAATATATTATATTGCAGTTGCATATAAGCTTAGTTGTTATTTGATCGTTTGTGCTCGTTCAATTCTAGACTTGGATTATTGACCAATACAAAAACTATAGAGTTGAAAATTAATCAACCCAAATTTATTGAAAAGAAAAAAATTGACACAACCAACCAATACCTTTCAGGGCTCGAAAAAGCAGCTTTAGTTTCATCCTATAGCCTTCCCTTCTGTCTTAGTATGGTATAATTAAGAAAAAAAAAATCATGAAATTCTACAATAAGTGGAATATTTTAGGAAAAATAGAGAATTCAATATATTATTACCTCCATTCAGGTTGAGAAATGGCAGTAACTAGTCAAAGGGAATCGGAAAGTTTAGCTCTCTTAGGATATGGTTCAATCATATAGGAGTCCTTCACAATAGCTCTAGAAACAGAGTTACAAGAGCCATGATGGTTGAGCTGAATAACATGCTTGAATTTAGCTTGGACAGAGGAATGGATATCCGCAATGTTAAACCCCTTCGCGTCACGAATGAGCTTATTCCTTGCAAGCCAAATAGCATCCACGAGTATAGAAGCATAAAGTAAAAATTCCCCATCAAAATGCATGTTTGAGTTTGGATCACCAAATAACACCATTTCAAGAAAAGAAGCCATGGAATCACATGTGAGGGAATTTGTGTGGAGACACCATCGCGACATGAACCAAAGTGGTCGAACACTCTGACAATAAAGAAATAGATGGGTGGCACTTTCCAAAATCATACCGCAGAGTGGGCAAGTTGTGTCTGCCACATCCATTTGACGATTAACAACTTCTCGTACCGGCAAAAAGTCCCAAGCAAGCATCAGCCATAATTCCTTGTACCTCTGTTGTATATTGGAACTCAACAACTTCTCACAAAGTTGTTGCCTAGATTGGAATACCGGAAAACCACGTAAATAATATAACATATTCTTCCAAAATCCATTTGGTTGCAGCTCGTCCGTAATGACGCTGGCGATACCAAATTCAATTGCATCTTGGAGACATAGCATCCGGATTCCACTCCTTTTTATGCTTTTTGACGGATCACTAAAACTAAAATGAAATGACATCTCTATAACAGCATCAAAGTCAAATGCACCGATATCCACATGTGTGGTCATTACCACCTGGTTTCTGTCCTGACTGCTTCCATGCCATGTGGACCCCAAGACACATTGGAAGCGTCTTACATAATCATAGTTGGTTTTGTAATAGATTTCCCAGTTCAAATATACCTCCTTTTCATGATCACGATTATGGGCATTTTCGACAACAAAGCAAAAGGCAAAACCCATGAAGCTGTTGGAAGTATACCAGAGTGGAGGAAGCTTCATGTTTATTGAACATCCCACATTTTGATAGCAAAACCACTCTGGAATTTCATCTCCTGGATAACAAACGAGAACTTCATGCGGAGCCAAATGCCTTTCCTGTCCCATAAACAGATCATGTTAACTTCAAATATGAAAACTAGTTCATTTATCTTGAAAATTGAAAGATGAGATGTACCTTTTTAGGTCTAGGTACTTCATGTAGTATTTCGGTGCACAAACTGGCAGCCGAAAATTTACTCATGATTTTCTTGTTATCCAACTTTAACCAACCCTGAAATAACAAATACCGAAACTAAACATGTATTTTAGCCAGAGAAAGAAGAGATATCTCTTATCACTTCAGAATACTTCAAGTTCCCTTGTAGCGGGCAAAGTTTTAATTTGAAACTCAGTCATGATGTTCTTATGATCCAACTTTAAGCAGCAGAGAAATATCAAACATGAAAGTTAATCAATTGTTTATTTATACAAGAGAAAGAATACATATATACCTTACGTCTCGGTGGTACTAAAAAATTTGTAGTGGATAGAGCTCTCATCTGAAATTCAGTTATGATGTTCTTGCGATCCAACTTTAAGCAACCATCAAATGAAATTGAAAACATACCGCAAAAGTTTTGAGTGCGCTCTTCTGCGAGTAGACTCCATGAATTTGACACCATCACCAAGGATGTGCATCCCCGTGCATTAACTCGCTTTATGGACAACGGAAGTTCGGGTAGTGATTGAAGGAACTTGCAACAACTCACGTCCAAGGATCTCAACTTGGAAAGTTTGATGCTTTCAGGTATTCTAATAATATTTGTTTCAGAGAGATCTAATGATTCTAAAGTGAGTAAAGAGAAGAGCGAATCAGGTATTTCAAATATCCTGGTGTTTTGCAGTTCTAAACTTGTAATCCCAACTACTTTTTTGATTGACAAGGGCAACTGTCTAATCCCCGATTTTTGCGTCTCAAACACTACTAGATGTTCCATGGGCTCCAAAATTTCTGGTAAGTACTCTAATCCAATACAACCTTTGAGATAAAGTTGTCGGAGAGATTTTAACTTAAAGAAGTTGGTCGGAAGGCTATTAAGCCTTTTGCAATCTGTTAAATCAAACACCAGGAGATGAGAGAGATGCTCAATTGATGGGGGAACATTCTGTATTGCAGTCTCAGCCATATCCAAATTTCTTATATTCTTTGGAAGTGTTGGAAACTTGTCAAAGTTTGAGCAGCCGTATAAATCTAGAAACTGCAGTGACTCCAACTTGCCAATGCTGCTTGGAAGATCCTCGAGACGTGTACAACGACTCAAATCTATTTTTTTCAGATTTACTGCCCAAGAGAGGTCTGGAATTTCAGTAAGGTTCTCAGATTCTTTAAGATTTAGAACTGTTAAGCTCTCGATATGCTGTCACGAAAGAAAAAAAAAAAGTAAATAATATCATACCAATTTACATTAGATATTTAGAACCAGTCGAAACTAAATTATACCTGAACGCCATCCCAGAGTTTCTTTAGCTTGCTGTTAGTCAAGTGCAGCTCAACAAGATTTTGGGGGCAAAATTTTAGAGGCAAAGTCTTTAGAGAACAATTATCCCAGTGAAGATATCTGAGCTGATCAGGAAGATATTTAAGGCCTTCTGGAAAGTGTAGTTTGCTCTCAACACAAATATGATCATGAAACTTGAGAAATTTTAGATTGCACATTGTTTTGAAAACTTTAGGTCCCAGGCTTATGGCAGCACTAATTTTGGACATGTCCATGGACATTCCTTGAATTTTTTTGGTCCCCTGAAATTGACAAAATGCAAATATAAGCATGCAACAGAGAAACACAGAGTATGGAAACTTTAGTGTACATGGTACTCACTGTATTATTTTTCAAGACATTACAAACATCTTCAGCAAACCATAGCCGACTACGCTTTCTAGGCTCATCAGGAGATTGTTGACGAGCAATTTCGATGCCCATATCTTGTACCAAATCATGCATTGACAGCCGGTTGGAACGGTCAATAGTTATGAGAGACTTGTCGATGAGAACTCTGATTCCCATAGCCACACCCAAGCGATAACTATCAAGAATTCCTTTTGCAACATCTTGTTCCGCACCAGTAAAGAAAAATGCAATATCAAGAAATAGATTTTTCTCATCGTAACTTAGTCCATCGTAACTTATTTTCAATACATTCTGGACTTTGTCGTGGGGAATATTTTCCAACTTTCTCAGTTCACTTTCCCATTCTTCTACGCTTTTGGAATAAAGGTGACAACCCAAAATTTTAAGGGCTAAGGGAAGGCCTTTAGCATACTTAGTCACCAAAAGTTTTGACATTTCTACATAAACTTGTGAGGGAGTGTTTTGTTTAAATGCTTTAGTATAAAATAGTTGACGAGCTTCATCGAAATTTAGTTCATCAACCTCATATATTCCATCAGCATGAATATTATTCAACACCTGCTTATCTCTAGTTGTTATGATGATTCTACTCCCATGACCAAACCAATCGCGATCTCTAACCAAATATTCTAATTGCTCTACATCATCTACATCATCAAGGATGACAAGCACCTTCGTACGCTGAAGCCTATCCTTTACAAATTGATTGACATTTTCTACATGCTCCTCCAACAACTCAGAGAAAAGTTTCTTTTGTAACTTGCCAAGTTTATGTGGCTTTGACTTGATGTTCCGAAGCAAACAACTACTTTCAAACTGATGAGCAAAGCGATTAAGTATGACCTCAGCGAGGGTTGTTTTTCCAATGCCGCCCATGCCCCAAATGCCTATAATTCGAACATCTAACAAGTTGAAATACAGCAATTGTTCAATTCTATGAAGCCGTTGATCAATTCCAACCAGATTCTTGAAATCATCTTTAGAAGACATGTTATCCAACTTTTTTAGAATGTCTTCGACAATTTCCTCAACTGCTTTAGACTTGGATCTATCACACACAACAAAAAAGTAGAATCAGTAAGAACCAATAAAACATATACATCAAATACCTTACATGAAATTGATTAATTTATCTTGCATACGAAGCAAAAGGCTAACAACCAATGGTCACAAAGCTATTTTGCATGAGTGGGCTCTTTATCAGGAAAGGAGGGAAGTTTGATAAGAACCTCACCAATTCTTAAGAATGAACAGGGAAGAAATTATCTTTATTGAATAACAATGAAAAGATGAACAAATAATAACTACTAAGCTCACTACAATACCCAGTAACCAGCAGCATTCGAGAGCCTGCACTCTCCCAAGAGTTTCCCCAAACTCTCACAAATCAGTCCATAACCCCCACTGACTACTAACCTCTTCCTTTTATACTACTAATCCCTCTAACAACTGATAATGCTTAAGTGAATACTAACAAGTAGCAACACTAAACAATCACCTAACCAACTAACTTCTCAGAGCCTATCATCGACTAACCACTTATTATATTGATAACCAAGTCCTAAGATAACTATCATAATCCTATCAACGTTTTGCAAAACTGTATTTCACTTGTAGTCTTTTGTTTGAATATTCTTTTTTTTTTTTTTTTATTCAAAGCAAATTGATGTCAAAATACTGCGTATTTAATGTAATAACAGAGACAAGAAGCCAATTATACACCACAAATATGGATAATGAAGAGCGTTGACAATTAATATCACACAACTTTTACACTCAACAAAAGAAAATAAATGAACGACAAGAACATTCAGACCAAATAAAAAGCTTCAAGCTTGTGGTTGTTTTTTCTTTTCTTGTATGCTTCTATGCGTAACCAAAAGACAAGATTAGAGAAAACAAGGGAGAGAATTCTAAAGACAACTCAAACTCAAGAAGAGAAAATATTGAGTAAATGAATCAATGACAAAAAAGAGGATTACGTATCCTTGCCGAAAAGAACAAAAACAAGATACAAGTACTACAAAAAATCAAGAAGCTTATGAGCCTATTAGATCCTTCCAGAAGCTGTGAATTTTGCTCTCTCAAAAAGATCAATAATATCCATCTCCTTTTCCTAAAAAAATTCTCGCGTTTCTTTCCAACCACAAGGTCCAAAGGACAGATAGAACCATAGTTTGCAAAACACATGCCATTTAAATTCAAACCAGCCAAACTTTCTATCAAAACCGAGCCACAGAGAGCTGGCATAGCCCAAGAAAACCCAGCTTCAAAAATTATTTTCTGACAAATCGACGTGGCCACCGGACAATGTAGCAGTAAATGGTCCACAGATTCCCCACTACTTCTGCAAAGGACACACCAGGAAGGGGAAATTGCCATATGAGGGTTTCTTTCCTGAACCCAGTCACAAGTGTTTAGTAATTTCCCAAGCGCCACCAACCAAGCGAAGAAGCCTAAGTCATTTATGATCATCCTAAAGTCTGTAATTCAATTAGAAGCTATCCTACTTTTAGGCAAACGAAATAACTAACAAGGAAACTAAGTCCAAATAAAATCCATGATACTGCTAAAACTTAAATATTAGTAAAGGAAAACTAGCGGTTATCCAGAAATAACATAAATGCCTAATGAAATCCTAAATACCAAAACTTAAAGAGTAGCATACCTAGTGACAGGTACATGCCATCCACACATATTGCCTGCTTCTTTCAAAGCATTTCTCCACATTTGCACCTTTTCATGCTCAAAGCGAGTTTCATGCTTGGCAAACGCCGCCGCATAGCTGTTTCGTTGTTGTCGTATGTCTGATGGATCAACATGGTAAAAAATCGGAACAACGAGCTGCTTGTTTACCCCTTTGCATCGGAGGATGTGAGCGAGTTCAGTTAAGCACCACAAAGAAGAAGCATAATTCTCTGAGAAAACGAGCACAGAAATCTTTGACTCCTGAATTGCGCTCAAAAGCGAAGATGAAATTTCCTCTCCTTTCTCAAGACAATCCTCGTCTATGTAGGCTTTAACTTTCTTTCGACATAAAGCAGCATAAAAATGGCTAGTGAAATCATTACGAGTGTCCTCACCTCTGAAACTTATGAAAACATCGTATGTTTTTTTCATCAGGGAGGTAGGAGCACAAGAAGGGGCAGCCATAACTAAAGCAAAAGAGAACTTTCTGGAACTATATGTGTTACTAACTAAAAATTGGCTCATTTTAACTTCATTTATATCGAGGACTCAGATTTGTTTATTAAGAACACAAAACGTACTCTTCAAAGAAAGTTGCAATCCTACTCTAGTTAGACCATAGTCAAATAACACTGCTAGAAATTGTGTAAGGAAGTTGCTTTAGTTTGCCAAACATTTGAGAACAACATGTTGACGCGAAAAAAAACTTCCACCTAATCAAACACGCTACGACAAAGCTAGGAAAAATGTGGAAACAGAAATATCAGCCAGAAACGCAAGAAAATGGACAGAGATTAGCATAATCTAGAGAGTGGAAATAAGAGACTACTTGTAAGACAAAAACACGCCAAATTGATGAGTTTCACATTCACACCATTAATAAGTCATCAATTCCCATTTCAAAATTTAAAAAATGTGGGTGGTTGAGAAAATGTTGGAGATTTTTGTATGGGAGAGGTGGCGTGTGGAAAGAGGGCATTAGGAAGAGATTTTGTGTTTCAATGGCAACGGGGATTACTACAAAATGATATTTTATTAGGAAAAATGAGACAAATATCTTTAAGGTCTGAAATTTTATCTCTTAATTAATATCTTTTTTAGTTAAATAATAATACTAATCAAAACGGTATTAATCTAAAGTAAAGGATAAAATTCAAAATTCATACACTCTAAAAATAAGTTCAACAATTTTCTCATTTTAATTACAAGAAGGAAGCACAAGTTTTGACTTTTGAGAGTGGTATATTTAAATAGAGCACTTCATCACCTAGATATTTGACAACCACATATTATAACTGTGGACACACACTCTTATTTGCTTATATCCAACTCGAGCAATAAATTCGACTTCATAAATAACTTGGAAACTTTTTTATTAATTTGGTCAAAGGAAACCGTATAACAGGTGTTCACTTGTATTGGTTAACAAAGTCCACATGACCCTTTAGCACAACATAATGTAGCAACTTCTGGCTGCCGAAACATGTTTATTTTCTACAACAGAAGAGAAACACATTAGCCAACATTCTACTACAACTTGGAAGAAGGTTTTTTTGAGCCGCGACCCGCTTTAAATTCCTGCATCTTCTTGAACTGCTCTTTGGTCATTCCATTGTAGTAGTCATGAGCCCTCTCCTGAAAACAAAGATCAACAGAAAAAGGGAACTTGGTTACACTTCTACTATATTGACCAAAGCAACTGGTTTTCTTCTCTGCAGATGTGCTTGAACTTGATAACTAGAAGAGAGATAAGGAACGCTCAGTTTCTACAGGTTCAAGAATGCTTGATGAGGAGATGTTCCCAACGGACAGGGTTCGGAGTCTTCAAATTCAACCATTTGGGAAGAGAAGATAGATCATGCACTCTTTTTCCTTGGATGGGTTTTCCCTATACATTTTACTGTCTAAGGTTTTTGATGAGGCATCTTTGGGCTAAAGTGCTTAGTTTAGATCTCGTCCGATTCCATTGGAGAGTTATCTTTTTGACAACTTTCAATGCAGGTTTTGCTTCTTTTTTTTTTTTTTTTTAGCATCCAGATTTTGATACATTCTAATTATCTTCTTTATTACTCTAATAAATCTAGAGTGCGAAGCTTGGCATAAGATTTGTAATCCAAGTACTGCCTATTCTATGGGAGCATAAGATTTTGAAAGGAAGAGATACAGAGAAAATTGATTGAGACCATTAATAGCACTAAACTTTCATTCAGCTTGTAAAGCAATCGACTGCCAAAGGCTGCAAACAAAAGTAAAAATAAAAAAATAAAAAAAGGCACCTTTTCCAGTGAAAGAGCATGACCCAGGTCCAGATTGAGGCCATCATTTATAACTGCCTTGTATCTCAACACCAAATCCTGATTATTTCTAATAATTGCCTCTGCAACTTCTCGGACTTTATTCAATAGTTGACCTTCTTCAACAACATGGTTCACGACGCCTAATCTCTCAGCTACCTCTGCAGTCAGAGGCGTGGCTGTTAGTGATACCTCACGAGCTTTGTTGGGTCCTATAATGCGCGAAAGCTTTTGAGAGAGTCCCCATGAAGGAAATATCCCAAATCTGCAAGAAGTTTTCAACGAATGAGATGGCACAAACAGATTCAGTCAAAACATTCAAGGGATACGAGAACTAAAACACATATTTCCAAATGCAAAGCGCTCAAGAGAAATATAAATGAGAAGGAAAACAAGCAATTCAATTGGTCACCATTCAGAGAACTTGTGCTTGAAAAAGAAAAACAGGAAAAGGGTTGATGAGAAAAGGGAATTGCAACTTTATATGAGTCCAATCTGTTGACTTTTTGGAGATGTGACGGCAAGTTTAACAACAACCTATCAAGCTCATATTGTTTACAGCATCCATAGCTGCCATTCCCCGCACAATACAAATAGGTAAAAATACAAGGGTCCGTTTGGTTCATGGGTTCAAACCATGATTCATGATTCTGACGTTTAAAATTTAAATTTATTTTGAGAGGAAAACACTGTAGTAGAACCAAAAATCATGGTTTGAATCATGCAGAACCATTGAAACAAAACCCTTTAAACAAAGCACCCCTTTGCGAAGTTTTTCCTACGTTTGCCAAGTATGCATTTTAGAACACCACAGGCCCACACACAACAAAAAGTCTTTTCATCGCCAACAGAAACAATTCACAATTAAATACAGCTCAAATACACAAGCTAAGCGCAAAATATACACCTTAGGCTAGAAAATACAAAATCAAGTACCCAAAAACATGGCTTTTTACATCAAATTCCTAACCTTTTCCCCTTTATTCGATTAAAAGTACTTATTTTTGGACACCACATATTAAAAAAAAAAAAAAAAAAAAAAAAAAAAAAAAAAAATTGTTTTTTGTGGACCCCCAAAAAAAAAAAAAAAAAAAAAAAAAAAAAAAAGGTCAAGAAAAAAACCCGCTTTTTAAACCAAAATTTTGAATATCTAGCCAAATATCCACTTAAGCAAGAAAAACACAACTATCTAACTTGAATATAGTTACACTGATCAAAGTACTAAAAAAACATGGCTTTTTCCATCAAGTTCCGAACTTTTCCTTTATTTGAGCAAAAAAGTTTCACTTAACAAAAATCAAACCGTCGTCGTCAAGTTTCAGCTCAAGCCCGAAATTAAGCGCCCAATATTCACTTGGGCAAGAAAATCACACATTACACATGGTCCTTTTCGCATCAAATTCCAAGCTTTTACCCTTCACTTGATAAAAACCACTCATTTTAAACATCACGATCTCAACACAAATCAGAATCTCCGGTCCATATTCCAGCTCAAAATCGAAATTAAGCTCAAAAAATCAACTTCAGAACTGAAAATTCACAAATTACCTTGCGTGAGTATCAATAAACTTAGCTCCTTTGGCAGCGATCAAAATATCGCAGGCGAGTGCGATCTCAAACCCCGCCGTGACGGCAAATCCGTTCACAGCGCCGATTATCGGCTTCCGGCACCGCTCCATCTGCGCCACCGGGTCCGCCCCCAAGTCCTTCACGTCGCCCTTGAAAACGTCCTCCGCCGCCGTCAGGTCCACGCCGGAGCAGAATGCTCGACCCGCCCCGGACAGAACGACGACCCTGACCGACTCGTTGCGGTCCAGGGCCTTGAACGCATGCGCGAGGTCCGTCATCATGGCCTTCGTCAGCGAGTTCAGCGACTTTGGGCGGTTGATCGTGATGGAAGCGATCCCGTTCGGCTCTACGTCGACGAGGATCAGGTTTTCCGGCGAGGGCTGAGCCATTTTCTCGCAGAGAGATAGAGAGAGTTCTTTCTCTTTCTTCCTCTTTTTCTTGCTTTTCTTTTTTTGGAAAACAGATTTGCGTTTGAGAGTGGTGTGATCGGGTGTATTGTCGTCTCAATCCATACCATGGTGTATTGGAGTGCGTGCAAGGTTTATCCACTTCAGATTGGACCGATTCCACTAAAACAGATCGTGATGTTACAAAAGAAATTGTTTAAATAAAAAAAAAACATTTTATTTTGAATAGTAGCTATGCAGTTTAGTTAAAATTACAATACAATTAGTTAAAGTTACTATTTTAATCAGTTAAAGTTGTTGTGTCAATCAAATCAGAAATTACCGTGCCAATCAATTAAAATTACGATGCCAAACAATCAAAATAGTAATCGTATTGTGTAAATAATAAGAATAATGAAAAGTGCCAAAATTTTTCTTATAAATAAGCATTAAAATCCTTTCATTTGTACACAATTTCAATTTAATTTGTCTCTCTAATTTTTTTTTTAATTTTGTATTTTCTTAATTTTAATAACAATATTAGATTATTATATGAGATTAGATATTAGATATGCGCGCTATTCTATTATTAAGTCTCATCGTTTTAATTATACGTAGTGTCGTATTTTTGATTGAAGTTTATTATGACATTACAGTTTTTCAAGTGTTGTCATTCTTAGAAATTGATTCCTTTTTAAAAAAGCAAAAATGTTTTGTCCAATATCTTTAAATTTTAGGATTATTCTCAATTTATCGTCTAAAATTAAAAACTCTCACTTTATCTTTTGAACTGTAAATTATTCCCGATTAATTTCTTTTGTGGTAATTTTTATTAAAAACTGAAAGCAAAAACGAAAATAACAAAATAACATGACCTTTTTGTTTAGATGTTTGAAAAATATAAAAATCATATAACTACACTTAACTCTTTTTTTCGTTTTATTTTAACAAATATTCTTACAAAAAGACTTTAAATATAAACAATTTATAGTTGAAGAAGCAAAATAAATTTTTAAAATTTAAAAGATAAATTAAGAATTATGTTAAAGTTCCGGTAAGAATAATCATTTGTTTTATTGGCTTTTTGGTCTTTACGTTTTCTATGACTCTTCATAAGCGACGATGTCATTTTTTAGGACGTCGTGGTTTTTAAAACAACCTCGTTTCTTATCTCATTGTGGTTTTTAAACATTGTAGTTTTTTATACACTGTCGTTTTCTCTGAGCCTGTCGTTTTCTAAGTTTCTGTCTTTTGTTATAGAGGTAATCACTTTATGCCTAGACAATTCGTCTTTATATGTATGCCGCACGCGCACATATATATGTATGCATTATATTGTCGATTTGGTACATTGTTGTCATATCGTCGTTTATAAGTGGCATTGTCGTTTCCAAGATATGTCTCTCTTTTTTCATTTTTGTCGTTTGGGGTCATATTGTTCTTTTTGTCGTTTGGAGATACTGTTTTTCCCCAACTGTTCATTTTTTAGGTGTGTTTAGAACTTATTTTAAAATGATTTTATTTTTTGTATGAAAACGTTTTTAATCTCAGACATAAATTATTTTTAAAAATGTGTTTGGTAATTTTTTTAAGAGATTATTTTCAGTATAAAAAATCCATTAATGTCTATCTCTACTCGAGAGAGGAGAAAACATAAACAAAAAATGAAAACGATTAAAAATCATTTTTCATTTCTCTCAAATTTTACATTAAATTAAAAAATCATTTTTATTTTTATTTTTTTATATTTAATTGTGTTAAACGTCGTTTCTCTCCTAATTTCATTTTTTTCTCAAAAAATATAAAAAATAAAAACAACTCTAAGCACAACCTCTTTTCTTTTTTCTATTTTTTATTCTGTTCTTTCTTTGGAAAGAAGGAAATCATTCGATGGAAAGTGTGTAGTCATCCTAGGGGTGGCAATTCATGTCACGTTTCGTGTTCGCTTCGTGTTTTGATCGTTTCTTTTTAAATTTACAGTCAACCCGAACACGACCCGTGACACGAAATTTTTTAAAAACCGCAACACGAACACGACACGACCCGAAAATGACCCGTGACACGAAATTGACCCGTGAATCTAAAATTGACACGAAAATTTTATACTTTTATTTAGTTTTTTACATATTAGAAATAACTTAAAATTCATAACACACTAAATTTCAATAACATCCATTGAAATCAAGCAAATAATAGTATAAGATTTTGAGTATAACTATCATGATATCACAAGTTTATAATAAAATTTAAAATATGAAATGATTATGTATTTTTTAATTTTTTACGAGTTTCGTGTCGTGTTCGGGTTAAACGGGTCCAACCTGAAATTGATCCGTGTTTTTCATGTCAATTTCAGATCGACTCAATTCTGATCCGAACCTCTTTTTTCTCAACCCTAATCCGTAAAATTCGTATCGTTTTTTAATCATGTCGTCATGTCGTGACCCATATTACCGATGTTAAGTCTTCCTTTGTTTGCTAGGAGGGATTGGACTAAGGAAAGGAAAAACGAAACGATTGTGTTTTTCATGGGTCCCACCAAAAATTCATCCTTCCATATATGGACAGAAATGAAGGGAATGAAGAGAGAGACTTACCAAGAATCAAAATTACAACTTTACCTCTTCTTTCCTCTTTTTTCTTACTATTTTAAGGTTTTTATTTATTTATTTTTTTCGACCTTTTGTTTTGCGTTGCTTTATATATAAAAAATTTATTCGTATTTGTATCGAATGTAACTTTTTTCTTTTTTTATTTTTTAATTTTAGTAAAACACTCTTGTTCATAAAACTTACATAACTGTGAAGCAATTATTTTATGAAACTAACTATAAGCATTTAACTTAACCCTGTAAATTATCAATTGCAATATATTTAATATTTAAAGTATGAATTAGTTACATTTAAATTAAATGTTTTAAAAACTATAAGGTGGCGTTTAATTTATAGATTCAGAACTATGATTCATGATTCTGATTTTTGAAATTTAAATTTTTTATGAAAAAAAAACGCTGTAGTGAACTAAGAATCATGATCTTAAACGAAACTAAAACCCTCGAAACAAACGGAGCATAAATATATGAGGTAGTTTATTTAGCATGTGCGCAATATGGTAATCTTACAAATCAAACTAATATTCTCCTCCTTTCTTCTTTTCAATACCAAACAAGAGAGAATGATAACAAAAATCATTCTTTCTATCATACCAAGTAAATTTTAGAAAACTACAATCCATCCTTTTTTTCCACTTTCTTTTCCTCATATCCTATCCATCCTTCCACCAATCCATTCCTCCTACTAAACGACCTTTACTTTGCTATATTTTGTTCAAAATTGTCATGTGTCATCTATCATCTATATCCTAAAGTATTTGTCGCAAAGAAAAGGATAAATTACACAATTGCCCTTCAAATTATAAGTTTTATCACAAAATATTCTGAACTTTAATTTTAGTTTTTTTTCCTTTAATTTTGTATATCCTACTATATGTATGCTTGTGATATAATGGGAATATTCGGTCGTAACATTTAATGTATCTACACATATATAAGAATAAAAAATTTTAGGGCCCTTTTAGTTCGCTGATTCGAGTTTTTAATTTGAGTTGAGATGTGACTTTATGTGAGTTTTTTACTATAGCAAAAAAGTTAGATGTGACTGTTTCTGAGAGCTTTTTACTGTAAGAAAACTTAAATTCTAAACTCGAATCGGTAAAATGAATAGGGCTTTATTGTTCAAGCGTTTTTTTCAACCAAAACCGCGTCGTTTTAGTTGAAAACACTACAGTAGTAAACAATACCTACATTGTTACAATTTTTTTTTTTTTTTTTTGCTCCCTAAGGTTTTGTGCTCTTTTTATTTTAGTCCTTTTTTTCCCTTTTTTTTTACCTACTTACCCAATAATTAAAACTTAATACACGATTACTCCTCACGTATATAGTGATAAGTAAAAAGCTTTCATATAAAATCACATTTCAACTCGAATTAAAAATTTGAATCAGCGAACCATCTATAATTAATATGCCTTAATGCTTGGTTTCAGGAAATGATTTGTTTCCTTTAGGAATCATTCTTTCCCTTCTTATATTACTATTACGGTTGGTTAGCATATAGCCGTTAGACAAAGTATTGTATATAAACTTGCTTTTGGTTTTGTATTATTCATGTGTGAAATATAGCAGAGCACTTTCTTTACACACATCCATCTATTCTTTCAAAATTCATTTCATAGCACGTGTTCTTTAACTAGTTCTTACTCTAAGAGACAAACTTGTAGTCGTTTCAAATTATAAATAAATATAAATGCATGATTAATATTTTTCAAGCAACACAAAATGAACAAATTAAAAGAAAAAAAAATTGTTTTGGAACAAAATACCATGGCTTGATGTGACTTTAACGCAACTGAATGAGGTAAAGTTGGGTTGGAATTTACTTGGAAAATAAAAACGTTGATGAATTGAAATCTTCAGAAAAATTCCATGCCTTGCGAGATTTTCAACTATTTTTTTCGCTATTGCAAGCATTTAATCACCCGTCATCTATCATCCTTGTAAGATGGTGTCGTTTTCCCTAATTGTTGTCGTTCTGCTCTATTTCTGTCGTTTTTTCTAATTTTTGTCGTTTTATTATTGTTGTAGTCACCTGTAAGCGACGTCGTTGTTTTCATGAGATTTGTCGTTTTTAACACATTATCCTTTTCACCTGCAATATATATTTTTTCATGGCAGTGTCGTCAATATGAAAGTTGTCAATCTCTGATTATACAGATGCATTGTTGGCTGTCGTTGACGTGTGACGTCGTTTTCCAACTACTTTTTGAACAGAGGCCTCGCAAACAAACCATTTATATATGTTTCTTTTTCTTTTCTCTAAACCAAAGCGTTCACTAACGAACAACATAGCTGAATATCGAATTGATTAGGAGACGTATGTTGCAATTTCCATAAGTCGTTTACTTTTAAAGATCTCGTCCTTTATATAATATATATGGCGTCGTTTGATTATGTTGTTATCATTTGTATTGTAATATGTAGTCTACTCTGTAGATTATTTCATTTATAGTAGACGCTGTTCTATTCTGAGGAGTCGTTTTCCTGAGGAGTCGTTTTCCGAGGCTTATGACTTGACGTCGTTTGCGCTTCAATAAAAGAATTTGACGTCGTCTTCATAACTTTGTCGTTTATAAGTTGTCGTTTTTGGAAAGTTACGCCGTAGGATGCACGGTCTTTTTGCATGACGTTGTCGTTTATAAGAGACATTGATGTTTTCCTAGTTTATGTCGTTTATAAGAGACATTGATGTTTTCCTAGTTTATGTCGTTCATTGTGACCTTGTCGTTTTCATTCTCATAAGTTATCATTTATTTATGAATCATATATGAAAACAAAGTGGGACCGTAGAAAGCAAATTATGTGTCTCGGTCTAAATATTGTGTGTTAGTTTTCCTTAATATATAATAGTACCTCTAATGATGCTTTGTTGCCAGATACTCATTTAAATTTATTTTATTTTTTATCTTTTGGTTGGGAGTTATGAAATTCCTACATGTTTGGTTTGAGGATTTAAGCCACTTTAATTTTTGTTCAAACAGTATTTTCTTTCAAAAAAAATTTAAATTTAAAAATTATGGGTGTGTTTGAAGTTGTTTTTATTTATTTTTTTACATTTTTCGAGAAAAAAATGAAAACAAAAGAGAAACGGCGTTTGGCACAATTAAAGATAAAAAACGGAAATAAAAATGATTTTTTAGTTTAGTGTAAAATAAAAGAGAAATGAAAAATGACTTTTAGTCATTTTTCATTTTTTGTTTCCGTTTTATCCTCTCCCGAGTAGAGAGAGAGAGATATAGACATTAATAGATTTTTTATACTGAAACAATATCTTGATAAAACTACTAAACGCATTTTCAAAAATGATTTCTGTCTGAGATTGAAAACGTTTTCATTTTCATTTTCATACAAAAAACAAAATTATTTTAAAATGAGCTCCAAACGCACTCTATATTACAATATTTTTTCTCACAAAATTTATATTACGGTCCTCAAACGAAACAAGCGATGTTCTTGATTGACCTCTCTACGAATATTATATTACCCTTACATAAATGAATACAAGAACATCTCGGGACATAATCATACAATTGTATCAATTAATAATCCCACAATTGTCTCAATTAAGCATATAAATAATTAATTAGCAAGAAAAAAAAGAATACAAATAATTATTCAATATCTTATTGGATCAAGACTTAGACCGCTATTACTTGCAATATCTTTCCTTCTTTTTTTTTTTTTTTTTTTTTTTTTTTTTTTTTTTTTACTTACTTACTTACTATCTGATGAAACTTGAACCCAAGACTCAATATATAGGGAAAAGAAAACTCAAATCCACCAAACATCAATTGAGCTGCCTTAATTAACCGCAACATCTTATTCAAAGAAAACAAAAGAAATAAAAGAAAATAAAGTAGACATTTGTGCTAATCGCAATCCTTTGATTATTTGTCGTTTGTTTTATGTTGTCCTTTTTTCGTATGTCGACGTTGTTCGAGACGTTGGTTTCAAAATGCGTTGTCCTTTTAGATATGCTATCGTTTACACTTATAGTTTGTCGTATGTTTGCTATTAAGTATGTTGTTTCTCAGACATTGTTGGTTTGTAATGTTACAATTAATTCTGTGAAAGAAAATTGTTACTCTCCAAAACTCCAAAACCATTGTTTCCTCTCGGAATCGTTCTATTTAAGTTAGATATTTCTTTATAATTTTAAGTGTCACTAGTTTTGCAACTCATTCAAGAACAATTGATAAGTCACATTTAAATTGCAAGTCTAATTAGAAGACACGTATAAAATACAAAGTCATCTATGTTCTCAAATATACCAAAAGACATATAAAGTGTTTAAAAAAAATGCGCGCTTTTAATGTATATACACCAAAAAGACAACGTGTGTTTACATTGAATGATTATAATGTTACGTCAAACGTTATGTTCAATACTGTCATATTACGTTGTTTTTTTTTTATATTGTTTACTTTTACATCTTATATGGATGAATCATAACAATATTTGTTATATATACTATGGTGGTTGGTTATTAAATATAGAAATGTAATGATATAACATGATACAAATTTTATTTCATTAATTTTGGATTGGAGTTGGTGGATCAAGATTCAAGATTGGCAAAGTTGGCAAACGTTCACAGGTGAAATGCCAGAAGAGTCTCTATCCAATAGACGCTTTGCAATTATAACATTAGCTGCATCAGACGGATGGTATGCGTCCCAAAACACATATTTTGATCTGTCCAAACACACCTTTGATGGGGCCCCACATGGAATCAAACCTCCAAATCTCCCAGCACTGTAGCAGCATGCAGAATTTTGATTCTCAAAACCTGTCACAAAATGGTTTAAGACTCTTATCAATACTATATGTACAGTATTCGACCGTTTGATTTCTATCAAGTTCTGTTAAATTTGCATTTTTTTAATTTTAGTATGATTCAGATGTGATGTGGCGAGTATCGACGAGTATTCACACCATATGTTTTGTAGTTGTCAATGATATCTTGGACAATGTTATAAACATCTGCATAAACAAACTTTGATCCCTCAAGAGTGGTGCTGAGTTCTGAAACAAGGCTCTTCAATTGGGTGTTGAATGACTTTGCTAGCTGATTTGGGAGTTCCACACAGCTGTCCCCAGCCGCAGGATTTGTATCTCTCTGATATGGTATACATCCAATGGGTCCCACATTCACCACAACAACCTTCCTAGCCCTCAGGTTGTAAAGGCTCTGCAGTACAACAGAATATAAAACCGATATCATGACCACAGAATATCGGTATTGTACTGTATTGACAAATCACATCAAAATCATATCGTAATGAAATTTGTATTTACATATAAAATTAATAGAACTTGATTAAGTCGATAACATGACCACAATACCGATGAGATTCTCTTTTATACCGTATTAGAGATCAGTATTATAGATCACATCAACCGATACCTTTTAGGGCTCGAAAAAAACAGCGTTAGTTTCATCCTATAGCCTTCCCTTCTGTCTTAGTTTGGGATAATTAAGGAAATAAAAAATCATGAAATTCTACAATAAGTGGAATATTTTACGAAAAATAGAGAATTCAATATATAATTACCTCCAATCAAGTTGAGAAATGGCAGTAACTAGTCAAAGGGAATCGGAAAGTTTAGCTCTCTTAGGATATGGATCAATCATATAGGAGTCCTTCACAATAGCTCTAGAAACAGAGTTACAAGAGCCATGATGGTTGAGCTGAATTGTTACATGATTGAATTTAGCTTGGACAGAGTTATGGATATCCGCAATGTTACACCCCTTCGCGTCACGAATGAGCTTATTCCTTGCAAGCCAAATAGCATCAACGAGTATAGAAGCATAAAGTAAAAATTCCACATCGAAATGCATGTTTGAGTTTGGATCACCAAATAACACCATTTCAAGAAAAGAAGCCATGGAATCACAGATGAGGGAATTTGTGTGGAGACACCATCGCGACATGAACCAAAGTGGTCGAACACTCTGACAATACAGAAATAGATGGGTAGCACTTTCCAAAATCATACCGCAGAGTGGGCAAGTTGTGTCTGCCACATCCATTTGACGATTAACAACTTCTCGTACCGGCAAAAAGTCCCAAGCAAGCATCAGCCATAATTCCTTGTACCTCTGTTGTATATTGGAACTCAACAACTTCTCACAAAGTTGTTGCCTAGATTGGAATACCGGAAAACCATGTAAATAATATAATATATTCTTCCAAAATCCATTTGGTTGCAGCTCGTCTGTAATGACACTGGCGATTCCAAATTCAATTGCGTCTCGGAGACATAGCAGCCGGATTCCACTCCTTTTTATGCTTTTTGATGGATCACTAAAACTAAAATGAAATGACATCTCTATTAATGCATCAAAGTCAAATGCACCGATATCCACATGTGTGGTCATTACCACCTGGTTTATGTCCTGACTGCTTCCATACCATGTGGACCCCAAGACACATTGGTAGTGTCTTACATAATCATAGTTGGTTTTGTAATAGATTTCCCAGTTCAAATATACCTCCTTTTCATGATCGCGATTATGGGCATTTTCGACAACAAAGCAAAAGCCAAAACCCAAGAAGTAGTTGGAAGTATACCAGAGTGGAGGAAGCTTCATGTTTATTGAACATCCCACATTTTGATAGCAAAACCACTCTGGAATTTCATCTCCTGGATAACAAACAAGAACTTCATGCTGAGCCAAATGCCTATCCTGTCCCATAAACAGATCATGTTAACTTCAAATATGAAAACTAGTTCATTTATCTTGAAAATTGAAAGATGAGATGTACCTTTTCAGGTCTAGGTACTTCATGTAGTATTTCGGTGCGCAAACTGGCAGCCGAAAATTTACTCATGATTTTCTTGTTATCCAACTTTAACCAACCCTGAAATAACAAATACCAAAATAAACATGTATTTTAGCCAGAGAAAGAAGAGATATCTCTTATCACTTCTGAATACTTCAAGTTCCCTTGTAGCGGGCAAAGTTTTAATTTGAAACTCAGTCATGATGTTCTTATGATCCAACTTTAAGCAGCAGAGAAATATCAAACATGAAAGTTAATCAATTGTTTATTTATACAAGAGAAAGAATACATATATACCTTACGTCTCGGTGGTACTAAAAACTTTGTAGTGGATAGAGCTCTGATCTGAAATTCAGTTATGATGTTCTTGCGATCCAATTTTAAGCAACCATCAAATGAAATTGAAAACATACAGCACAAGTTTTGAGTACGCTCTTCTGCGAGTAGACTCCATGAATTTGACACCATCACCAAGGATGTGCATCCCCGTGCATTAACTCGCTTTATGGACAACGGAAGTTCGGGTATTGATTGAAGGAACTTGCAACAACTTACGTCCAAGGATCTCAACTTGGAAAGTTTGATGCTTTCAGGTATTTTAATAATATTTGTTTCAGAGAGATCTAATGATTCTAATGTGAGTAAAGAGAAGAGCGAATCAGGTATTTCAAATATACTGGTGTTTTGCAGTTCTAAACTTGTAATCCCAACTACTTTTTTGATTGACAAGGGCAACTGTCTAATCCCCGATTTTTGCATCTCAAACACTACCAGATGTTCCATGGGCTCCAAAATTTCTGGCAAGTACTCTAATCCAATACAACATTTGAGATAAAGCTGTCGGAGAGATTTTAACTTAAAGAAGTTGGTCGGAAGGCTATTGAGCCTTTTGCAATCTGTTAAATCAAACACCAGGAGATGAGAGAGATGCTCAATTGATGGGGGAACATTCTGTATTGCAGTCTCAGCCATATCCAAATTTCTTATATTCTTTGGAAGTGTTGGAAACTTGTCAAAGTTTGAGCAGCCGTATAAATCTAGAAACTGCAGTGACTCCAACTTGCCAATGCTGCTTGGAAGATCCTCGAGATGTGTACAGTGACTCAAATCTATTTTTTTCAAATTTAGTGCCCAAGAGAGGTCTGGAATTTCAGTAAGGTTCTCAGATTCTTTAAGATTTAGAAATGTTAAGCTCTCGATATGCTGTCACGAAAGAAAAAAAAAAAGTAAATAATATCATGCCAATTTACACTAGATATTTAGAACCAGTCGAAACTAAATCATACCAGAACGCCATCCCAGAGTTTCTTTAGCTTGCTGTTAGTCAAATGCAGCTCAACAAGATTTTGGGGGCAAAATTTTAGAGGCAAAGTCTTTAGAGAACAATTATCCCAGTGAAGATATCTGAGCTGATCAGGAAGATATTTAAGGCCTTCTGGAAAGTGTAGTTTGCTCTCAACACAAATATGATCATGAAACTTGAGAAATTTTAGATTGCACATTGTTTTGAAAACTTTAGGTCCCAGGCTTATGGCAGCACTAATTTTGGACATGTCCATGGACATTCCTTGAATTTTTTTGGTCCCCTGAAATTGACAAAATGCAAATATAAGCATGCAACAGAGAAACACAGAGTATGGAAACTTTAGTGTACATGGTACTCACTGTATTATTTTTCAAGACATTACAAACATCTTCAGCAAACCATAGCCTACTACGCTCTCCAGGCTCATCAGGAGATTGTTGACGAGCAATTTCAATGCCCATACCTTGTACCAAATCATGCATTGACAGCCGGTTGGAACGGTCAATAGTTATGAGAGACTTGTCGATCAGAACTCTGATTCCCATAGCCACACCCAAACGATAACTATCAAGAATTCTTTTTGCAACATCTTGTTCCGCACCAGTAAAGAAAAATGCAATATCGAGAAATAGATTTTTCTCATCGTAACTTAGTCCATCGTAACTTATTTTCAATACATTCTGGACTTTGTCGTGGGGAATATTTTCCAACTTTCTCAGTTCACTTTCCCATTCTTCTACGCTTTTGGAATAAAGGTGACAACCCAAAATTTTAAGGGCTAAGGGAACGCCTTTAGCATACTTAGTCACCACAAGTTTTGAAATTTCTACATAAACTTGTGAGGGAGTGTTTTGTTTAAATGCTTTAGTATAAAATAGTTGACGAGCTTCATCGAAATTTAGTTCATCAACCTCATATATTCCATCAGCAAGAATATTATTCAATACCTGCTTATCTCTAGTTGTTATGATGATTCTACTCCCATGACCAAACCAATCGCGATCTCTAACCAAATATTCTAATTGCTCTACATCATCTACATCATCAAGGATGACAAGCACCTTCGTACGCTGAAGCCTATCCTTTACAAATTGATTGACATTTTCTACATGCTCCTCCAACAACTCAGAGAAAAGTTTCTTTTGTAACTTGTCAAGTTTATGTGGCTTTGACTTGATGTTCCGAAGCAAACAACTACTTTCAAACTGATGAGCAAAGCGATTTAGTATGACCTCAGCGAGGGTTGTTTTTCCAATGCCGCCCATGCCCCAAATGCCTATAATACGAACATCTAACAAGTTGAAATACAGCAATTGTTCAATTCTCTGAAGCCGTTGATCAATTCCAACCAGATTCTTGAAATCATCTTTAGAAGACATGTTATCCAACTTTTTTAGAATGTCTTCGACAATTTCCTCAACTGCTTTAGACTTGGATCTATCACACACAACAAAAAAGTAGAATTAGTAAGAACCAATAAAACATATACATCAAATGCCTTGCATGAAATTGATTAATTTATCTTGCATACGAAGCAAAAGGCTAACAACCAATGGTCACAAAGCTATTTTGCATGAGTGGGCTCTTTATCAGGAAAGGAGGGAAGTTTGATAAGAACCTCACCAATTCTTAAGAATGAACAGGGAAGAAATTATCTTTATTGAATAACAATGAAAAGATGAACAAATAAGAACTACTAAGCTAACTACAATACTCAGTAACCAGCAGCATTCGAGAGGCTGCACTCTCCCAAGGGTTTCCCCAAACTCTCACAAATCAGTCCATAACTCCCACTGACTGCTAACCTCTTCCGTTTATACTACTAATCCCTCTAACAACTGATAATGCTTAAGAGAATACTAACAAGTAGCAACACTAAACAATCACCTAACCAACTAACTTCTCGGAGCCTATCATCGACTAACCACTTATTATATTGATAACCAAGTCCTAAGATAACTATCATAATCCTATCAACGTTTTGCAAAACTGTATTTCACTTGTAGTCTTTTGTTTTTGTATTCTTTTTTTTTTTTTTTTATTCAAAGCAAATTGATGTCAAAATACTGCGTATTTAATGTAATAACAGAGACAAGAAGCCAATTATACACCACAAATATGGATAAT